GTCAAACAGGCAAATGGGAACAAGTAAGACAAGCAACAACAACATCAACAACATCAACAACAGCAACAACATCAACAACAACAATAACGACAAAAGAACAATAATGAGTCATCGCTCTACCACTGATTAGATTACGGTATTTCTAAGCCAATCTCCATCCCAGTGTTACGAGTACGTGTCACTGCAGCCTCATGTTTTATGAAATGACCCGGAACCAATACATTCAATACATTCAATAGGGAAAAAACGCTGACTTTTCAAGCACGTAAACAAAAAGGAATGCAACCGTAACAGTTCGTACAGTTGCAATGGTCTTTCCTCTCCATCCACGCCGTCAGGACAACGCCTCCTTTGTTTCCCCAAATCATCGTACTAAATATTTTACACTCCCATCCATAAAATACATACACTATCATTAAACAAGGCGCACTGCTTAGACCCTGCCTGTTAACGCCAACCCAGGAAAAGCAGATGGGATGCAACAAACGAGCAGATAAATAGACATACAGCTTGAAATACTTGATATAATCGCATTTCGAGAGACGTGGGGAAAGGGGGAAAAAGGGGGGGGGGTGTCAAACACAACAACAACAACAAAATTTTTACAGCAAAACGAACAAACACACTTGAAAATGTTTTTTTTTTTTTTAAGGAAGAACACAAACAAATATTGTGTTTCCAGTGTTAATCGTACCGAACGAGCATCAGCTCAAGAAATACATTTAAGTACAAAGCGGTTAAGTAGACCCAGTCGTATGGAAACAGGAGGGGTCAAATTTTATCCGGATCAAGTTGTCAGGTTAGAGCGAGTTATAAGCTGACAGTAAGACTTGACCCACCAGCTGGTACGGGGGGAGAGACGGGAGATGGGGTAGGTCGGTAGGTGGTTTATAGCATTCGTTTCAGTGCAAGTTTTACGGCACTTGCAACACAAAAAGGAAACATAAGGTGCCGAAGATTAGAATATTTGTTGTAGTTGTTCTTGTTGTTGTTTTAGAGAGCGTTTTACGACGTTCGCAACACAAATAGGTCATATAATTATTACAAGTATCGAAGACAACAGAGATGTTTAACAAAGGAAAACGTACAAAGAAAAGAAGGACGAGAGATGATCACGACGATGTTTGATAGGCACCGAGGAGCGAACCACACGAGAGCAACCGCCATCCGAAAAGCAAAGATTCCACACACACGAAGAGGATGGTTGAAGGGCGCCACTGGTAGGTCTTACTTCTCTACTGTCTCTCTGTTGTTTCTGTCTGTCTGTTCGTCTATCTGTCTGTCTGTCTGTCTGTCTGTCTATCTGTCTGTCTATCTGTATGTCTGTCTGTCTGTCTATCTGTCTGTCTATCTGTCTGTCTATCTGTCTGTCTGTCTGTCTGTCTGCCTGTCTGTCTATCTGTCTGTCTGTACGTCTGTCTGTCTGTCTGTCTGTCTGTCTGTACGTCTGTCTGTCTGTCTGTCTGTTCGTCTATCTGTCTGTCTGTTCGTCTATCTGTCTGTCTGTCTGTACGTCTATCTGTCTGTCTGTCTCTCTCTCTCAACCTTACCCACCACTAAATGACTATAATTATGCTGGTGTTTTCTTTACTCCCACAAACTAGAGGCAAAAACAAGAGTGTCAGCGTCCACAAAGACAACTGTGAGGCGGCGTGGTGGAATCAGGCTCTCGTCAAAATAATCAAAGTGAAGAAACTTGCATTTTTCCGCAGGTTTGTGAATTTTTATCAATTTTTTGTTTTTTGGCTCAACGCCTTTCATTCCCATTTGAGAACTCATTTCTAAGTGGATTTTTCTGAAAAGCGTTGATGAAAGGCACAAAAATGTAAATTTTCAGTTACCACGGACTCAAGGAAATAACTAATCTTTCGCGGCCATTTTCTCACTAATTTTACCTCTGAAAACAGGTGACCCCCACCTCCTTCTTTCGCAAATATCTCGGGTTGTATTCAAGGTAAATATTTATTTTTTAAAACCAAATAAAGACAAGTGAAAGAGCTTAAGATGATAACACTAACTCTACAAGCCCAAAAATTGACGAGAGCCTGATTCCACCACGCTGCCTCACAAATCGTTAAGACCCGTACTCCACTTCATGGACAAACCTTCAAAAATAACACACAAGTCCTTGGCTGGAGGGGAGTACCAACCTGCAACTAGCTACACACGGCAACGCGGCCTTTCGATACATTATCCCCTTCATTTTGTTTCACAAAGAGCAATTCTTCTGAAATTCTACACTCAATTTCAATTTCTTAACCTTAAAAGAATAAAGAGAAAGAAAGAAAGAAAGAAAGAAAGAAAGAAAGAAAGAAAGAAAGAAAGAAACATTTCGAGCCAACCAGCCGCCGACAAGGAAACCAGCACTTCGATTCGTGTTTCAAAAACCCTTAACCGACGATCAGAAAGAGTCTCCAAGTCTGCGTAAGACTCTAAATAACAAGGTCTTAAAACCAAACATTAAAAATTCGCGTTCCACATTACCCAAAAAGCAAAGATTCCACACACACTCGCACACCGACACAAATCTCCGAGAGAAAGATACTACGGTAAGAACTCTCACTCGCAAAAGAAATCAAACAAACCCGCGTTCCAAATGATCTAAACTGTATCGATAGTGGGGACGCAGTAAAAACACCAACGTTTATTAGATTTTAGAAGTCAAATATTGAAAACAACCTATGTTTGCCATTAATCCACTAATAGACAAAAACAAAGATTCCACGCAGCCCGGTACAAATCCCTGACAGATATACGGTTTTTAAAAAAAGGCTACACCTTATAAGCTCTTGAGAATGTCACAGATTAATCCCGCGCAGCGGCGGGGGTGAAGAGGTACGCGGAAACAGAGGTGACAGATCCCACTCACTTTGCTCGGAGACGCATCGACATCCCGAATCATTCTCAAGTGACGAAAAATCCAATCGCGAATGCGCACTTGGTACGACATACTATTATATATCTACGCGCACTTTATAACGACGTATGTGCTTTTCCGTCACACAAAAACCACCTATCTCAAACACGGATTGCCATCTTTCTGACACCCAAGCCGTCTATCTCACACACATTCAGGCGCAACGCCATTCAATTACGAAGCTTTATTTCGCTTCCAACTTAAAATCGGTGTATTTGGTGCAGCAGTTAGGTACTCCGCCGTCCCACGCAAGGGATTTAAGTTCGATTCCTGAGTAGGGAGAATTTCTATCAGGAACCAACTATCTTGGTCTTTCTACTGGGGAGAAGTTGTAACTCTCTCGATTATTTTAGTAAGAGTTTCACGGCACTTGCAACACAATAATAGGTCACAATATTAGTGCCGAAGATTACAGGTGTTACAAGAGAGTAACAAACACAAACAGAAGGAGGGGGAGATAATGATGATAGAAGTCGGATAGGTAAGAAGGAGCAAACCACACGAGAGCAGCCGCCAACCACCCACTGACCATCTAGGCCCGAATTGACCTATGACAGGCATGGTAGAAGCTCCCCTCCTCAATGATTTAAATTGTTTTTAAAAAAAAACCCAACCCACAGCATTACCTTTTTACCCTTTAAATTTTTATGAAGAAAAACCTACCCACTTTCCTACCCGTCATCCGTCAATACAACCATGTAAAAATGTGCATAAAATGCCACAAAATAAAAATGAAAGCGAACACAATCGCTAACTGAACGAAAAGCAAAGCAAAAAACACACAAAACACATGTGCGCGCACGCACACACACACACACACACACACACACACACACGCACACACACACACGCGTTTTAGTAAGAGTTTCACGGCACTA